CCCCAGGAAAATAAAAAAAATAAAAATAAAAAAATAAAAAAAATCCCCAAAATTCACACGAAAGTTCCCCAAAATCTCAAGAAATTTCATCAAAATCTGCCCGAAATTTCTTCGAAATTTCCCCAAAATTTTCCCAAAATCTGCCCCAAATTTCCCCAAAATTTCTTCAAAATTTTCCCAAAATTTCTCGGAATTTCCTCAAAATCTTCCTAAAATTTCTTGAAAATTTCCCCGAAATTTCTTCAAAATTTCTCCCAAATTTCCCCAAAATCTCCCCCAAATTTCTTCAAAATTTTCCCAAATTTTCCCAAAATCTGCCCCAAATTTCCCCGAAATTTCTTCAAAATTTTCCCCAAATTTCCCCAAAAATTTCCAAAAATCTCCCCAAAATTTCTCCCAATTTTCCCCCAAATCTTCCCCAAATTTCTTCAAAATTTCCCCAATATTTCCCCAAAATTTCCTCTAAATTTCCCCAAATTTCCCCAAAATCTTCCCCAAAATTTTCCCAAAAGTTCTTCAAAATTTTCCCCCAAATCTCCCCCAAATTTCCCAAAAATTCCTCCAAAATTTCCTCAAAATTTCTTAAAAATTTTCCCAAATTTCCCAAAATCTCCCCCAAATTTCCTCAAAATTTCCCCAAAATCTCCCCCAAATCTGCCCCAAATTTCCCCAAAATTTCTTCAAAATTTCCCCAAAATTTCCCCCAAATTTTCCCCAAAGTCTGCCCCAAATTTCCCCAAAATTTCTTCAAAATTTTCCTCAAAATTTCTTAAAAATTCCCCAAATTTTTCCCAAAATTTCTTCAAAATCTCCCAAAAATTTCCTTAAAATTTCCCCAAAATTTCATCAAAATTTTCCCCAAATTTCTTCAAAATTTCCTCAAAAAATTTCCCCAAATTCCCCCAAATTCTCCCAAAATTTCCCCAAAATTTCCCCAAAATTCTCCCCAGCCCCCCCCAGACCCCAAATTAACCCCAAATTAATTAAACCCCGAATAAATCCCCTAAAATTCACTCTAATTAACGCTAATTAACGCTAATTAACCCTAATCAACGCTAATTAACGCTAATTAACCCCCCCAAAAACCCGAAAAAATTCCAAAAAAAATCGAAATAAAGCCCAATAAAAACCCAATTAACGCTAATTAACGCTAATTAACGGTAATTAACGTAAATGCCGTGGGAGGCCACCACGTGACCGAGCAGGATGACGTCACTGGGCCCCAAATAACCCCAAAAAACCAAAAAAAATTCCAAAAAAATTCAAAAAAAATCCCCAAAAAATCGAAATAAAACCCAATAAAAACCCAATTAAGGCTAATTAACGCTAATTAACGTAAATGCCGTGTGAGGCCACCACGTGACCCAGCAGGATGACGTCATTGGGCCCCAAATAACCCCAAAAAACCAAAAAAAATTCAAAAAAAATAAAAAAAAAATCAAAAAAAAATCGAAATAAAACCCAATAAAAACCCAATTAACGCTAATTAAGGCTAATTACCGTACATCCGGTGCGAGGCCACCACGTGACCCAGCAGGATGACGTCACTGGGAGCCCCCAGACCCCAAAAAACCCCCAAAAAATCCCCAAAAAAATCCAAAAAAAATCGAAATAAAACCCAATAAAAACCCAATTAACGCTAATTAAG